CTGCTGACCAGTCAAGATGTGGATTGTGCTTTTGAAGCCAGGGCAGACCAAGGACTACTGGAGCACGAGGGGAAGGCATCACATGGAACCGAATGGTTTCACGATGGTTACCAGAGAGCAAGAGATGAAGGGACTCAGTGGGTGCAGTGGGTGACCTGAGCGAGAAAGTCTCCATTAAGAGCATTAGCCTCCACAGGTGTGGAGAGCAGTTCAACAGAAATGCCATTTGTGTTACCATAGAATAAATTAAATTCTCATCTGCTCCAGAATCCACTAGGGCGAGGAGGGATAGAGTTAGAGACTTAATCACGATAGTGGCATCGAGTTGAATACGAGTCCGGGGAAACAAAGAGACAGAGGATCGACTCACCAGAACCCCGACTGCTACTGATGAGTCTTCTCTCTTTACCTGCAGGGGACAAGAAACCAGGAAATGCCCTGCCTGTCCACAGTATAGGCCCACTCCTGCACGGACTCTTCGCAGCAGCAGCTGCTGGGGAAAGACGACTGCAGGCCCAACTGCATGGATTCCTCTTCAGGGCTGAGGGAACGGTTACTAAAAACTAAAAACTCATCTGAGACTGCTGGGTCAAAATCCTGGTCAGATGGTTCTGTCATGATTTAAACCAGTAATGACCCAAATGCAGGCTCAGACGACGTTAAGGGAAAAACAAGGATTTAGTTTCTAATTCAACAGGAATCACAAAGAACAATAGTTAAAGTCAATCTGGACGTTACCTACCACGGTGCCTGAACAAACCATCTGAGGACCAGTGGGAGAAAGGCCAGGGTTTTTATGCCGTCAGACTGATTGGGTTGATTGAAGGCAGGTGCTGAGGAACAGCAGGTGTGCTGATTATCCATGCAGAGTCAGGGAGATGTGCCACGCCCACCACACAGACAGAGACAAGTGCACAACACAAGAATGGGGGAAAACACAGGGAAACACAGGGAACGACATTACTGTCACGACTGTCATCGTGATATTAATGTCCTTCTGTAAGAATGGGATTCCGATGTAAATCAAGGATTTTTTTCATTCTTTTTTATTGAAGATATTAATTATTGTAGTAGTATTTTTTTTATTTTCTGTGTACTCTAACTTGTTCAAAGTATTTTAAAATGGACACCGCGTTAGTTTATTACGTTTGTTACGTGTTTTGAGGCCGGTGATTTCTTTCATATTTTCTAACCATTTTAACCATTTACCATCTAGTGCAGGGGTGCCAAACATACAGCCAGTGGGCCAAAATCGGCCCGCTAGGGGGTCCTCTTTTTTTTTGAATCTAATATCTCACAGTGATGTACATGGGAATGGCACAGTGGGGGAAAAAAAATCACTGTAAAGCTATTAAAGACGATCTTTAATTAAATCTATGACTGGAAGGTGTGTTAGATTTCAGTAGTTTTCACCTCTTCTGTGTCGTCAGGTCCCCTACCAACAAAACTTGAGAATCCTTAAAGACATTTACAGCACCTGGCAGTGGAAGTCCTTGAAGATTAGAAATCTGGCCTCCGCTAAAATTCCCTGTTGTTCCCAAACTATTAAAGTTCACATTTTCTGACCACCGTCTCATGGTGGCACCCAAAACTGCGAACCATTTCCCTTTATTTGGTATAAAATGTCTTCTTATAACAGGGATGTCAAACATACGGCCCGTGGGCCAGAACCGGCCCTTTTTTTGCTTGACAACAAAGGGGGAAAAGATGGACATTTTGTGAATACTATTTGAAGACAATAGAGAACAGGAATATTTGAAATTATTACCGATGTCACTACCGCCCAATGATGAAATGGCCTGTGGTCATTATCCAAATCTGGGCTGTCAATGGATTAACATGTTCAATCAGATTAATAACAGGGGTAGCTCTTGATTAATGGTGATTAATTGATCATTTAGTCAACTAATCATGATTAATCATGATTAACTGAGGTAAATTGTTGTTCTTAAATACGATTAAAAAAAAATATTGCTAGAACATAGGGCTAAATAACTGCAGTTCTGTGTACACACACAGGTGGCACCATTAAGTATGTGTTCCCTCCGGGCCTGGAACCCGGGACCTTTTGCATGTAAAGACAGATGTGTAAGGCAAGCATTACAACCGCTACACTATCAAACTACTAATTATAATTATAATTATAATTTGAACTTAATTGATTCCACGCTGGGGAAATTGTTGTGTTAGCAGCAGATGTGCTGCAATGGGCTGGAGCCAAGTACGTGGTTCCTCTGGGGCTCGAACCTAAGACCCGAGTAGTGACTCATCTAAATGATGGGATTGTTGTCATGGATAAATGTCAAGAAAAAAAAAAGGACGTTTTTCCAGTTGGAGTTAGATTTTAGGTGGATTTTAGTTTATTACTGTTCATCTGAAGCTTGAAAAACAGCAAGTTACGAAAGACAGTTGGAGTTAGATTTTAGGTGGATTTCAGTTTATTACTGTTCATCTGAAGCGCTAGCTTGAAAAACAGGAAGTTAGAAAGAAAGGAGGAAGTGGAAACCTCCACTGGATCAGACGGTATTTCAAGTCCCTGCCGTGTGAGTAAACATTGTCGACCATGAGTTCAAGCAACATATGGAATTATAGGCTACACAGTGCACGTAATTCCAGCCATACAAATGAATTGAAATAACACTATGAGCATGTTAATTTCGACCGCCCTGATTAGCATGTAGTGAAACATAAAGTAAAAATAAAGAAAAATTAACAAACACTTTAAAGTGAATGTAAGTGTTTCACAAGGGCCACAGCAATATCCTGCTGTTATTATGAGTTAATTTCGTTCCCTGGTACAGACCATTAGTCAAACTATAAGCCACGCGTTTAATTTTGCAGAACTTTAATTTCCTCTGTCTATAAAACAGTGTGCTGTCATCAGTGTGTTGTCAACGCAACACCGGAATGTTCCCGAGGCAAAATTTACAGAGTGTAATTGATCAGTAATAAACCAATGTGTGGCTTCTGGATTCTATTTCCCGTAAACAAGGCCACATAAATCACGGTGAAGCTCATTAAACGCCAGTGGAAGCTGGAGGTAATTTTCCTCGGAGGCCTTTTGCCTCTAAGCCTCCTCAAATCCACAGGACTCTGCCTCCGGTCTCCAGCCCCAGCAGGATCTGGAAGAGGCTGGAGGTTAAGAGAGAGCAGCGGCTGCAGACTGAAAATCAAATATGGAGAGAGGAGAAAGGGAGGCTGTGGAGGAGGCGTGTCTCTCTTCTTCTGTCTGATTTACACCTGAAGGAGCTCTCATCTGGTCTCCGTCACGGAATGACTGCTTGACAAGTGACAATCGATCCAGTCAATCAAATCAGGGGGCTTCAGGGGCCACATTCGGCCTAGTTTATTGTCAAACGGGCCGGACCAGTACAATCATAACATAATTAGCTACAAATAAAAAAAGTTGACGTTTTTTCCCTCTTTGTTTTCATGAAAAGAAGTAGAATTATAGTAGAAAATGTTAATATAAAATGAAGTATAATTTGTAAAGACATCACAAACATGAAGTTCTCCAAATCGTTATTCAGTTTTGGTTTTTTTTATCTCGCACGCCCCTTAGTGGCAGCTCACCACATTTCGGGAATCCACAGGTGTCAAACTCAATTAAAATATAATTTTACAAAAAAATATCCTGAACAGCAAATTCATCGAGCGGGCCGGATTGAACCCCCCAGCGGGCCGATTTTGGCCCACTGGCTGTATGTTTGGCACCCCTGCACTAGATGGTAAATGGTTAAAATGGTTAGAAAATATTAAAGAAATCACCGCCCTCAAAAAACGTAATAAACTAACGTGGTGTCCATTTTAAAATACTTTGAACAAGTTAGAGTACACAGAAAATAAAAAAAATACTACTACAATAATTA